TCATGATTTTTAATCAGAATTACTTCAGGTTCAGATTCACCGTCATCACGGCGTGGTTCTTTTATCATCACTGCCATGAATTCCACTGATCTTGTGAGCAACACCCCGATCTCGCTGAGCGATGCTTTTGGTGGCCGTGAACGTAAGAGGAAGTTTGGATCGCGGACCACTGCGCTTGAGGTTTGGTTCTAGCATTGAAGTATGAGGACGCTTTTGGAACTGAAATTATCGACATCTTTCACAATTATTTTAGACCATCGAAGACGTCGATCTCACAGGAAGAACTATTCTCATCACTGGAACAACATCAGGTATTGGCACAGAAACGGCAAGGGCGCTGGCTTTAAAAGGTGCTCATGTCATCATGGCAAATAGAAATATTGTACTGTCGGAAGCGCTGAAGAATAGGATACTTGCTGAAAAGGTAACAAATTTGTCGTCTTTTTCTTCGATCTATCCATAAATCTTCAGAAAGTCTCCCTTTCCTATTTCTCCGTTTATTGTTAGTTTATCAGATTTCGGAGATGAATGTGTTTTATAGATGAAATATGTAGATCATGGTTGAAATCCAAACTATACATAGTGGGTTTATTATATTAGGAGCTGTCTCCATGTTGCTTCTGAACTATAGTATAGTCGGTCTTCAAATGCTAATGGTCAGAACTACGGACATACGCCGATAAGGCAGATGACGACAGACAGAAGTTATGCGCTGCTAGTTATATGCATCAACTCTCATCACCATCTGGAGCTGTGGCCCATAGCTTCTTATAGATCAATTCTGTTTCGAAAAACTTATTCGGATGATCCTGACAACCTTTGATTTTTGTGGTTTTGCAGCCTGACGCGAAAATTGACATGATAATGTGTGACTTAACTTCTCTACAGTCAGTTCAAGCGGCAGCTACTGAGTACAAAAGCAAACATTGGTACATTTAAGATGTTCTACTAATTAGCATTATCAAAGAACTTCCTAAGTTCCAGGCCTCTTCACGCTTTGATTCTCAATGCAGGGGTATTCTCTCCTGATCAGAAATTGACCATCGACGGGTTGGAGACCTCATTTGGTGTAAACCATGTTGCTCATCAATACCTCGTCCGCGAGCTTCTTCCTCTACTGAGGCAGTCCCACGCTAGGGTTGTTGTCGTCTCATCACATTCGCATAACCATACAGGAGTGAGCTCTACTTTGTATATGTATTTAACTTTGCTATAATACTACTATCGTAAAGAGTATTTGAACTTCCTATTATATTGTAATGTATACACCTATCAATTTTATTCAGCACTAGTTTATCTAATTACTATGCTTTGTTTAAGTTGAAACCGGAAATGACCTTAGAGGAAAAATTGACAAAGCTTTGTCCGACGGATAGCACAGACTTTGGATACAGGTTACCATCCATATTTCCTGCTTGTTTATTCATGTTTCAATAACATTTTAGGCATTATGCATGCTCTAAGCTTTGCAATATTCTAATGAGTCTGAAGCTTCATCGAGATGAAAATAAGAATGGGATTTCAGTGTACGTACTTCATCCAGGAACTATGATTGGTACAGGTATGATTTCTAGTACTACCTTGTTTATTTTGATGAGATAATATACATTTGATTCACAGACATTTCACGAAGCTATGGATTTCTCGGGAAATTTTGGAACGTCGTCTCAAAACCCTTCACAAAATCTTTGGAACAGGGAGCTGCTACAACGGTCTACTGTGCTGCGTCGCCGGAAGTTTTATTTGTAAGAACACCTCTGTTAGGGTATCTTACTTCATCGGGATTGGCCGATTTAAGTCGACCGACCCTTATGAGCACAATATGAATCGGTCGATCGAGGGTGCGCGGCGTTGCATTGCGGCGTCCCCAAATACCATTTTGCCTGGGGTTCGGTACTCATCTCTCCGGCACATTTGCCGACGATTTCTAAGAACTCTGACACAACCTGAAGAAAGAAAGGAAATCAAAGTCGGAAGAAAAAGTGCAGAAGGACTGGGATAGCGCCGAATTGCGCCAAACTGGTACTCAGCAAAGGGCCGCAATGCAACCGCTGCGCATCCTCGATCCTTA